GGCGGGTCGCGCAGCCCCTGCTGACAGCCGCGTCCGCGCAGGGCCCGCGCCGTGCCCCGAGCACGAGTTCCGCTGCGCGTCCGGCGACGCCTGCTTCCCGCGCACCTTCCTCTGCGACGGCCACGACGACTGCGAGCACGGGGAGGACGAGCGGGACTGCGCGGCGCCCAGCGCAGGTGCGGGGAGACGGACGGGGCTGCCCCGGGGGAGGGCCCACAGCGCGGCCCGGGACGCTCCCCTCATCTCCCTGCTCTCCCCTTGTCGCAGAGGCCGCCCCGTGCGGCGCGGGCGAGTTCGGCTGTCTCCAGGGGGGCTGCGTGCCGCTGCAGCAGACGTGCGACGGGGAGCGCGACTGCGCGGACGGCAGCGACGAGAGCACCTGCAGCGCCCCTGGGCTCCCGTGTGGGCCCCGCCTGTGGCAGTGCAGGACCGCCAGGCTGTGCCTGCCCTGGGGGCACCTCTGTGACGGTCACAGGGACTGTCCCGATGGCACGGATGAATCTGCCGAAACCTGCCAGCTCCACGAGGCCCTGTCCTCCACGGGGCCCAGCACAGCCAGCACAGGTCAGAGATGTGAATGGACTGAGATGGTCACAGGCTGGGGGGGCAAGAGCGCCAGCAAGCAGATGAAGGGCTGGGAGTGTATAGTTGTAGGTGGGTGAGTGGGTGGAGATGCAATAAGGAGTGGGATGCTTTGGGTATTGGTCCTTTACAGAGGTGCATTCTGCTCCTGAATGACCATTTAACCAGACGTGAGTCAATTGTGCGTTTCGATGGAGCGTTTGAGGCCCAAGACTTGGGTTGGGCAGAGGAAGCTGCTTGAAACTGTCCCTTCCTGACATTTCCTGGCCCTTCTAGCAGAGGAAGCGGTGTCTGTTCAAACTTCTGGCGTGCAGACGTTCCCAGCTACCTCTTGGAGAGAGGAATTTCGAAAGTTTGCCAAGTGCACGCAGATCTTCAGTTTCCCCCAATGCCGTGTTAGTTCTGTTTTCCTCCTTGGCCAGCCTGTGAGTCTCTGTTCCCTTGTGCATGTGGGCTTTTTACCCAGCAGTAGCAGGGGCAGATCTTGCTTGGAAGTAATAATACCCTGTGGTGATGGGATTCGGCAGGAATGAACAGGAGAGCTCAGTTTTTTGCCGACAGTTCTGAACCCCTCTCGGAGCTGCCTCCAGGTGACAGGCCATTTAATAGCTGCTGCGTAGGGTCCCCTGGGGCAGGCGTCTGCCACTACTGCCCTGCTCCCCCAGTGCGGCCTGAGAGGGAACCAGGGAGCTCTGGCCTCGCCCTAGTCCCGCTCATCTCCCTGCTCTCTCCCGGTCGCAGAGGTCCCCCTGTGCGGCGCGGGTGAATTTCGCTGTCTCCAAGGGGGCTGCGTGCCGCTGCAGCAGACGTGCGACGGGGAGCGCGACTGCGCGGACGGCAGTGACGAGAGCACCTGCAGCAGCACCCCCGGGCTTTCGTGTGGGCCCCACCTGTGGCAGTGCAGGACTGCCAGGCTGTGCCTGCCCCGGGGGCACCTCTGCAACGGCCACAGGGACTGTCCTGATGGCACAGATGAATCTGCCGAAACCTGCCAGCTCCACGAGGCCCTGTCCTCTGTGGGGCCCAGCATGGCCAGCACAGGTCAGAGATGTGAATAGACTGAGATGGTCACAGGCTGGGGGGGGGCAAGAGCGCCAACAGGCGGATGCTGAAGCTGGAGGGCTGGGAGTGTAGGTGGGTGAGTGGGTGGAGACGCAATAAGGAGCGGGATGTTTTGAGTATTGGTCCTTTACAGAGGCACATTTTGCTCCTGAATGACTATTTGACCTGACATGAGTCAATTGTGCATTTCCATGGCGCGTTTGAGGCCCAAGACTTTCTTGGGTTGGAAAGAGGAAGTTCTTCAGTAGTTCTTCAGTTTCCCCCAGTGCCATGTTAGCTCTGTTTTCCCCCTTCGCCATCCTGTGAGTCCCTTTTTCCTGGTGCGTGTGGGTTCTTTGCACAGAAACAGCAGGGGCAAATCTTGCTTGAAAGATCTCCCTGTGGTGGTGGGATCCAGCAGGCATGAACAATGAACAGGAGAGCTCATGAGCTCTTGAGGCCAACTCTAAGAGGAGTGTAGAGCTGTCTGCGCAAGGTGACAAAGATCGTTTAAATACCCAATGACTGACTGTCCTGTGCTTTCATTTCAGAGACTCCATCTGAGACCCCAGGATCATTTCTGCATCAAGCTCCCTTGTGGGTGATAGCTACCATTGGTATGTGAGACTCCAAAGCTACAGCTCATCTTGGCTTTTGCTTAGTGGAGTTAAGTGAAATGGGGCTCAGGTCAGAGTGATTCAGATGCTGTTTGTTCAGTAATAGCTTACCGGAGTCTTGTGCTGTTCTAGGGTTCCCAAACTCCCTCTTCTTGCAGCATGTTGTAGCCCCACAGCCATCTAAGCCATGTTGTGCCACCTGCTGCCTGAAACGGAATCACCCGGCATGGGACAGGCACTAACTTCCTTTCCTTTCCACTCCTCCAAGGCACTCAGCCTCCTGCTTATCCTTAAAGGTTTTTGACTGGCCTTTCTCATGGGCACTGGGCTGGAGCAGCTGAATTTCATCTACTGTCTAATATAAGGTGATATTAAAGCAGTTTTCTGCTCTTTACTGTGCAGTGCTCCTGAGTGTTCTGGTGGGTATAGGCTGCATCTCTGCATGGCGACGATCCAGAAAAAAGAGCAGCTTCACCAGTATCAGCCTTGAAAAAACTTCCAAGGAACAGCTCATGCCTGCCAGAAGACCCTCAACTACATTTCCCTGATGGGTAGGTTTCTTACCCCTACACTGGATCCGAACCACTCAGTGCAGCTACTCGGAGGGGCAGAGAGCCCACTCCTTCCTGAGCACCTTTTTTCTGCAGGGGAGAAGATGGTCCTTGTCCCATCCCAGCTCGCCACCAGCTCTTCTCTCTGGGAGGTTATCCCCATGTCTTTCCTGTAAATGCACTTCTCAGCTGCATGTGCCCCAGCGAGTTGTGTTCTCTGTGTGCAGGAGAGCATTTTCCCTCAACACACACGCTTTCATGCATGCATGCACAGTGCTAATCTCTGAGTAAGAGTAAGGATGGGGTCCCTCCCCACTGCCAAATTTTTTGTGGTATGGAAGTGGTTTTGACTGCTGTCCTACCTCCAAACTCCTCTGTTCTGAGAAGCCTACTGTCTCTTCTTTCAGTGGCTATTTGATAACTGGGCAGATGTGTGTGGGTGTTGAATCCAGGGGAAGCTTCAAACTCCTGAATGCTGGGATACTTTGCTAATCTTTTGGCCTCTTTAGAGTGGTTTGTTTTCCCCCCACAGCTTTAAAACTGAAATGAAATCCAAACCCCTGGCACAGAGGATTGTCAGTAATCACACTTTTTTGTTTTTCTGCTTTTTTCAGGAAGTTCCTGCCTGCAGGTTGGCTCAATCATCTTCGCACTCCCTGAAGATGCTGTTCAGATAGATCTTGACAAGGTCTCAGGGGTTTGATTGGGTGACAGTTGCACTAAAATAATTAAGGATGTTCCCCCAGCACAAGTATATATACTGTGGGAAATTGGCATTGGAGAATCAGAAATGACCCTTCTGGTGCTGTGAAATCAAATGTCCCATGAAGGTGATGGCAGTTCTTGGGATGCTGTAATGGTTACCCTAGGGAGGATATTGCACATGCTGCTTCTCACCAGAGATTATAGTCATGATATAATTTTACTGTACTACAAGTCTTCTAAGTATTACCTGCTGGCATTAACCCATCAAGGAGTTGAAAAACTGACATGCTTCCTGTACCCCTGGGCTTTTCACTGATGACAGGTTGAGCTTTAGCTTCTAGGCACATGATGTGGCATTTGGGACCCAAGTGCTCTTCATTCCCACTGAAGTCTATGTAAGAAGTGTTCTCTGCTTCTTGTAGTATTCAGCCTAGTGTTCCCACCTTAACGCTGGGTTTCCTAGAAGTTGCCTGTTTAATGTAGTTGGAAGAGCATCTGAGCAAATCTTGTCAAAACCAAAAACAGCAGGAGTCAGTTTTGCATTTCATTGCTTTTAGCTCTTAATTTTGGTGTCATAACCAGTTGCTACCTTCATGAAATCAGTTCATGCAGTAGACCATTGGCTTTTCAGTTTGTGTGCGTGTGTATAAGGCATTGCTACTGTAGAGGGAACTACTAGCAGAGGGGAAGGGATGTGCACTCTTTTCCCCCATTTAAGCCAGTAGTTACCTCTGTTTCCATGTTCACTGAATGTAAGCTGAGAATTCTACTTAGAGGGCAAACACTCCAGCCAGCAGTCTCAGAGTGCAGGACTCCTATGGGTTTTGTACAGCAAGCACCTGTGCATTTGTAGCACAGGGGAGAGAGTTTGTAAGAGTTATGAATTATTTAAAATTCCACTTCTTCCCAGCTTTCGGATAGCACAGAATGAGAGGCTGAATCTGTGAGGGTGGAGCACTCTGCTTCTGGGTGACTGACAGATATATGAAAATGTTAGTTTATGGGCGAATAAAACTTTTAAAGAACTGTTTGTGGCTGTTTGGATTTTTATTTATAGATTTCATAGACATCAGGGCTGGAAGGGACCTCAGAAGAACATCGAGTCCAGCCCCCCGCCCGAAGGGCAGGAAGTCAGCTGGGGTCATAGGATCCCAGCAAGATAAGCATCCAGTTTCATCTTGAAGGTGTTCAATGAAGGCGCTTGAACCACCTCCGGTGGCAGGCTGTTCCAGACCTTGGGGGCTCAGACAGTAAAGAAGTTCTTCCTTATGTCCAGCCTGAAACGATCTTGAAGTAGTTTGTGACCATTTGACCTCGTCATCCCTTGGGGCCCTCTGGTGAACAAACGTTCCCCCAGATGCTGGTGGTCACCCCTGATAAACTTGTCGGTGGCCATCAGATCACCCCTGAGCCTGCGCTTTTTCAGGCTAAAGAGCCCCAGGGCTCTCAGCCTGTCATCGTAGGGTCTGCTTCCCTGACCTCTGATCATGCGCGTGGCTCTTCTCTGGACTCTCTCAAGCTTCTCCACATCCTTTTTGAATTGTGGAGCCCAAAACTGGACACAGTACTCCAGCTGCGGCCTCACTAAGGCCGAGTACAGGGGGAGAATGACGTCCCGGGATTTGCTTGAGAGACGTCCCGGGATTTGCTTGAGACGTCCCGGGATTTGCTTGAGATCATCGAGTCTGACCCCCTGCATAGGCAGGGAAGAGTGCTGGGTG